CCTGCCACTTCCTGGAATGGCTCTGGTTTCAGGTGCAGTGCGGATACCCTGCTCCAGGTTATCTAGAAGCAGTGGGGGCTAAGTGTGGATTCAGGGCAGCAGCTGGCTCGACCTCCTGCCCTGTGACAAGGCAGACTTTGGGGGTGCTGTGAGAACGGCCCTGTGCTCCGTCTCCTGGAGACTTGCAGCCCTGCGGACACACATAAACATCTGACCTCTGCGAGGAAGCATGAGCCTTCTCTGTATGTGGGTGTGCACACATATAAAAACAGATAAAATGGCTTTTCTTTCCACAGTCTTGCATGCCCCACTTGTAAGGCCAAAATGCTAATGTGAAGGGGCAAGGGAGGTAGGAAACGAGAGTTAAGAACCATGAGCACCTCAGCATTGACCTGCTCTAGTTTTCCTCCTGTGGAAGTAAGACATTGTGATCTGCATTGGAGTAGCTCTCTGCTCTGAAGTCAGTGTTTCCTTCAATGGTGATAAGCAATATCTATCATGTTTTCTGCATGAGGGTCAATTTAGAAAATTAAAAGTATTGGGGGGGAGGTCAAATTTTGTCTCAATATTAATTCAAAATATGCATTTTAAAGCTCAGATTATAAGATTGCTTGCAGTGGAACAGAGCCAATGGAAAACATTGGCACTTTGTAGCCACTGGAGCAGATTCGAGACATAGCAGATGGCAGCGATTTTCTTATCTTTGTTCCCTCCACCGGTGAATTGTGTTAGAGCAAACACGAGTCGTCTCATCTCTTCCTTTAAGTTCCATGTCATAGGCATTACTGTGAGCCTTCACTCACCGATGGGAAAACTGAGGCTCAGTTGGCAGCAGCAGAGCTGTTCCACTTACTCCTTGTTTCCTGAGCTCTGCTGAACTTAGAGCTCACAATTTGGAGGCAGATGTGATAGGGCCTCCTCGCTGCCCAGATTGGGGCGCTCCTGCTGCAGTTTCTTAGACTGTGTGCCTGAGCAGGGCCAGGCTCCAGAAACGCAGAAGTGGGCAGAGCAGCCCCAGTCGTGCGCTCCAGGGCCTCGACTCCCAGGGAATGTGTGCTGCGGCCATGCAGAGCCCCCCGGGCTCGCGGAATGTTCCACGGCAGCTGCCCCTCACGGGCCTCCAGCCGAGCAACCCAGGCCTCCATGTCTGCGGTGAGCGCCAGGTGGCTCCAGCAGTCCTAAAATGGCCCAGCTTGTGGAGTGGCCCTGGAGGCCCCTCCCCATCTCCCCCTCGCACCTGCACCACCCTGTATGAGCTAGCTGTGCTTCAGGTGATACTCTGGTCCTGCTGAGAGCCTGTGGGGCCTCCTGTGAGGCTTCTCACCCCTGGTTTAAGTCAAGTTGATGCTTGATGACCAAGGAGACACTGAACAACTCAGTGGACAGCCTAATAAATGAGGCATGAGACAACTCCCAGTCTATACCCTGTGCTTAAGCTATCACTTCTGGCCTTTTTTAATTTGAGAGGCCAAAGCACGGGTCCCCACTCAGTCCTGACCCATGTTTCATTTGAGCAACTATTCTGTTTAAGGTTGTCTCAGGTATTGGGGTAGATGGACAAACACCCAATTGGGACATATAGGGGTCCTGGGGGTCTCCTGGTAGAGAAGGGCACCACCGATAATGTCCAATGAGGACAGAAAGTGACACGCCATGTGTGGAGGAAAAGGCAGGGCATGCCTGGGGGAGAGGGAGGGGGCAGAACAGCACTTTGTGTGGCCCCCACAAGAGCCCCCAGGCTAGGGACACGGTCCACACATGTTTCCTGACTCCATGCCTGTCCTGAGCTTCTAAAGATGCCCCCACTCCTGAAGTGGAGCTTTCCCTTCAGGTAGGACCAGATGCCTGGATGGCTCCTTTAGATAAGTCATACTTTAAAACTAATGTCCCTGTCCTTATTGCCCTGACTTGGTCACCACGTGGAGGCCAGTCTCATGTTTCCTTGGATCACAGGCTCCCCAGGCAGCACTGGCAGCAGCGGATGCCTCTGTCCAGCCTCAGCTCCAGCACACACAAAGCCTCGTGGCTTCACAATGGCTGCTGGGATCCTCTGAGCCATAGCTTACCGCCTGTATCACAGGGCCGTGCAGTCGCCGTCATGAGGACTGTGGGGAGGTGAATATGTGTAAGCACAAAGGACACCTGTTTCCTCAGATGCTTCACACAAAAGTATGTGTCGTTTTTCTCTTGCTGGCCGAGTGTGTATGGATGCCACATATGCCTTCCTGTGAATGGTGACCGCTCGATTGGAAATGGGAAGGGGAATTGTGGAAAGATTACAAATGGGTAATGGCAGGATGCAGACAAATCTTGGCCTTGGGTTTCAGAATTGTCCTTTGGTTCTGTAGTAAAACTTTTAGAGTTGGTCCCGAGAAAGGAACTTTACTTATGGGAACGTGATGCAAACCTGGAACTGTCACTGCTCCCCAGAAGACAATGAGCAAAGGTGCATCATGGGATAGTACCGCTGGAGGGACGTGTTTTTCTGTGAGGAAACTGGAGCCAGGTGACTTGCTGAAGGTGGTTAGTGGCTTCAGCCACTAGGGCAGAGCAAAGGACTTATTAGGGTCTCTTAGGGCTGGAGCGTAAAGTTCGCCTTAATGAAAATGGCAAGTAGCTCTTCCTTCCTTGGGTTTACATTTATGCATCTTTTTTCCAAAATGCGCATAGGTGTGAGTCATTCACATGGAAGATGAGGAAGTGTTTCGATTCCTCTGTATAGTTTGGGGTTCTTCAGCAGACCCTGAAAGAGGATCTACAAGTATGTGGGAAGGGAAGGAAGCTGATGGGGAGAACACGATCAGGCAAATTGCCAGGATTCAGATAACTATCTCACTGGGCACTGCAGGAGGCAGGGATAGACTCACCTCCAAGCTGACACACCGGAGCAGGAGAGAGCTGGGCACTTACCCACCCACCCCAGCACTGAAGGCTGTCCTGGTTGGCACTGTGTATACTTGTGCACACTCCCTAAGCCGTGGAGTCCTTGGGCAGAGAGACAGACCTTCATGCTAAGCAGGCTTGAAGTGGAAGGCAGGCATCAGAGCCACTGGGGGCCCTCCCCATGGTTCCTGAGTTGGTAAGTTTGGATGGGGCTTAGGAATTTGCATTTCTAATAAATTGCGACTGATGCTGGTGGGCAGTCTAGACTTTGAAAAGCACCCTCAGATGTGAGCCCTTACACGTCTCTTATTGATGGCTGCCCTCCTCTCTATTTTCATGCCACTTCATGTCATAGATCCCAGGTCCATTCTGTGAGTTTAAAAGTGGAGGATTAATAAGCATTTATAACTCCATGCAGTCGTTGCTGGAAGATAAAATGCCATCTGCCAGCCGCAATTTATTTATAATGGGGTTTATACATATTTATAAGTTTGCAAGCAACATAATGCACAGTTTTTAAACTGGCACATTTTATAGCAGCCAGAAAAACTGCAACTTTATACCAGGACTTGTGAATGTCAGTCTCATATGTATATATACACACATACATGCACCTGCATTGACGACAACGACGTGCATCTGTCTGCATGTGTGCACATGAAGATTGGCTGTGCAATTTGTACCTCGGGACTCCTCCCTGGCTTTTGGTATTTTAACTAACAAGGACAATTAGAAGGTAAAATAAGTGTTAAGAATTTGGGAACTGATGTGTCCTGGCATCCATAGACACCTGGAGGGCCATAAGACAGGGCTCCATTGTGGGAAATGACAGAGGGACATGAGAGCAAAGAGGCCAGCGGGGGAAGGCAAGGAGAGGAGAGGATGGGAGGGACGAGGAGAAGGTGAAAAGAAGGGGGACACCATCAAGTCCAGGCTTATGTCCTGTGTCCCTCCAGCAGTGCGCAATGTCTGTGGAAGGCCAGTGAGGAAAAACGAAAAGAGTCCAGCGTGGCAGGCTGCCCCCATCAAAGTGTGCTAGGGGACGTGGGGTGAGCGTCATCCTCCCTGGTATAGCTGCGTATGTGGCACCGCTCATCAGCGTTTCTAACCAGCCTTCTCTCAGCCTCATCTGTGGATTACTATAGTTCACACTTGGCAGGCACTGTGCTGGATTCCTGGGGTAGAGAAGTGAGTGAGGGTTCTGCCTGCCTGCGGGCATAACCCAGTAGGAAGTAAACACACACTGAGTGTTGGCATGACAAGTCCGACGGTGTTGTGGCCAAGTTCAATAGGACTGTGGAGACTGGAGCTCCTGGGTCTGAGGATTCTGAAGCCTTTGCCAACTGAGGGGCAGATGGGAGGGAAATGTTAGCACAACAGACAAGGCTCGAAGGCCCAGGAGGAAGCAGGGCACCTCCATGCAGACAGTGGCTGGTGTTACCAGGGATGCTGCAGGTGGAGGTGAGGCTGTTCTTCTCACTTCTCTCCTTCCTGTGCTCACAGGTGCCCCGAACAAATGAATCCCTTAGGCCCCAACACACAGGGCTCCCTCCCAGGTGCTGGAAGAGCCATTCTCGAGCGGAAAATGAAATCTCAGAGTTTGTTTCAATTTCGTTGTGTCACCTTAAAATGCTGTAGGTAGAAAAATCTGCACATGGGAGTGCACTCTGGGGTCCTGGGGTTTCAGGTAATTCATCCATCCTCAACTGGGACATTTTACCGCGACCAGCGTTTCTAACCACCAAATCAAGCGACAGTTAACAAAACAAATTAATGGGCAAATCCATCCTTAAACATGGAGTTACCTTGTAACAACTATGTGTTGACTGCAAATGGAATGTTCTCTGTTCATTTGACCTTTGAATATAGCTTGTTCCTGAATAAATATTGTAAAATTCAGTATGTGAATGTTCTTTGTATTCAAATTTAAACAAGAATTAAACATTTGATCTTTAAATCCAAGGATTAGGTGAGAACTTCGTATAAATTTAATATGTAACAATAAGGTATTTATTACTTTTTTAAAAAGCATTTGGATGGTGAATTATACACATTGATAAATATTACTTGAAAATTTTGTGTTTTCCATTAACTTTTGTGAAACAAAAAAAGAACTGTCAAGGTTTCTGTCTGGGTTTATTGCCAATTTACCACTTTCTACTTTGATATTGTAACAGAATGGGCTGTGGACATTCCCGAGGAGTGGAAATACAAAACTGATTTCAAGTTTTCTAATCTCTGTTCCATGAAAAGTGGTAACACCTAAGTTATTTGGTCAACATTTTGGAAATTTGACAATAGAACGGGTAAGGAGAATTGGCTTAAAGTCCCCCCTCACCTTTAGTGAATCCACTTCACTCCTTCAGGAAATGATGTGGTTTCCAGCTGAGAGCCCTTGATGGTGCACCGGACACCTGTGTTTCTGGGGTAACCAAGGAAAGAGCTGCTTGGCGTCCCCAAGTGTCAACACTCTGGTCCACCAAGGAGGTTGTCATCCATGTAGGCAGTGCTGCACTTCTTATCATTGGTTATCGGAAAATGTGCCTTCATTTTCAGAACAGTGGTATGTGCATTTATGATTATGTAGCAAACCCTTTGATATTTGACTTAGATACTAAAACATTTGGGTGTTGAGGTTTTGCACTCATACATACAATTTAAAAGCATGGACTTGGTAATTTAATTAGAAGTTTTCTATAAAATACACCTTGTTACATTTCTGTGAAAAGCTCTTTACCAGTGCGGAATAACCATGGGTCAAGGGTTGAAATAACAGCCGTTTTCTAAATCGTCCGTTGTTTAAATGACTGTCAATGTTAAGTCTGTGGGCAATAAAGAATATTATGAAAAATCTGTCTGTTGGACTATGGATCTTGGATTGCCTCAAAACAGAGGAGGGGAGGTTGAATCCCTTCCAGAGAAAGCAGATATTCACAGTTATTCTCCAGAAGACTTCTTGAATCACAATCACAGCAAAGCCCGCCTATTGGCCAAGGGTGTGGAATGAAAATGGCAGCTGGGCAGAAGCATTGCTGAGGGTACTTATGTTAACTTGTACCCAGTGGGCCTTGGGCAGAATCACTGGTGGCTGAAAGTTTGGTCCTCAGTTATGTTAGAGAAATTTCTTCATGACTGTTACCAACAGACTAGTTAGGCCTCTTTCTCTCTAGAACACAGGGTGGACACACACACACACACGTGTGTGCACTAAAACTACAGTTTGTAAGGAGAAAGCTGAGGGAAGGGCCAGTTCTGACCTCTTCTCTCCCTCTGTAAATGGAGCAGAACCAAACATCCCATCTTTGTTGGCCCTACCTTGACGGCCATGACTCTCACAATCTTCTCCCTGTCAAAGGGAAGTCTATTAACCTTCCTCAAATAGTGTGACCTACCAGAATTGATGAAACAGCTCCAACACACCTGGCTTCACTCAACACCACATACGCCAGTGGGAAAGTGGAGGGTGGAAGGGTTATCAGGTTTCTGAGAGTGGTTTAATTCCTGGGGAAACACTGGTACCAGTGAGAGGCCAGGCTGCCATCTGGTACACCACCAGGGTGGCCCCGGTACACACATGGACGTCCAACAATGGCTTATACAAAGATTTTGGTTTTATTTTTTAACAAAGATACATGGGACATAGTAAAGGTTACTACCTGAATGAGCTCTAATGCACAGCTTCTCTGTGGCTTTGAAATACTCAGCTTCTAAATGATCTCCAGCTAGCTAGTTAGGAATGTACATACACATTGGTATTAAAGTTGATTAGTTTTTGAACATATCAAATGAATGCAATTACTTTTTGGAGTATTTTTCATTCAGATTGCTTGAAAGTTTTGCATTATCTCAAAGGAAAGTTTGGGCTATGGTACAAAGTGTTATTAATATTAGCGCCAGAGATCTGGGACCCCCAAAGCAACTCAGAACTATGATATAAAGTTTTAAAGTCATGTCATGACCTAAGTGAAGTGTAACACCCAACATCTTGACACTGATGCATTTTTTTCACTAACCCAGTACCTTAAGGCTTAACTTTTCTAGAAATGCCCTGGGTTTTCTCATGTTATTTGATAAAAGAATAACTTCTTTTCAGTGATGTAAAGAAGGCAACAAAAAAATGTCACTGATGAACGTCTCATTTATCTCATCAGTAACAAAAATGAGGAAAGTCTTTGGTCAGTACACAGAGATCCCCCAGGACCCATGAAAACATCCTTCAATAAGAAGAACTTGCATCAGATAAACAGGAGTCAATCTCTCTTCAAAAAAGTTAATGTGTTAAGACTACTCTTTAGTCTTTACTCAGGTGATATTCTCACTGAACCTAAAAACGTCAGGGGATTTCACATGTGAGGTTCCCCCATGTAAGGACCTTTTTGAAGGCTGTTTGTTTTGTTTTTACAAAGAACTCTCCAAGTCTGCTGTGTGCTTATGGGGACTCTATAGATGTGTGTGTTCTTTTTTATCAGCTTGTATTCACGTAGAATCCTTGAGGAAGAGCATACACAAAAACATCTTCAGAGTAATCCCTTTATAAGGTAAACAGAATGATTGATACAGGGTCGCCCTGTGTTGAAAAATAAGATTACAGTATTATTACGTTTCTTTGAAGAACGCAAAAACTGCCAGATCACGTTTGCTGTCCTGACAATTAAACTGCTCAAACAGTGGCTGTCAGGTTCTTCTTTCCAGAAGCCATGAGACTGCTGGTGGCCCCAGCTCCTTGGCTGTGGCAGCACAGGGGTTACTGACTTTCTGACATAGAATCAAATTCAACATAGGATCAAAGTGCTGTCTTGTAAACCTCTCCTAATTCCATAGAAATTTTCCATTAAACAGATGGCTGCTACTGGCAACTTGAAAGGTAAAATGGGCTGGGGGGTCTGTCCCTGCTTCTCTCAAGTGGGTTCATTTCTTAGTTGATCTGGGACACAACCTCCTGGAAGACCTTGGCTGACTTTTCTGTGATTTGGGGAAACCCTTGAATACTCACGTAATTTGGCTTTTGGATGTGCATAAAACTGTGCAGGGATACATGACAAGGAAAAAAGTGGGGGTCCCTCAGGGGACCTGCACCACAGAACTTGGTCATTCTTGCCAGGAACCTTTAGACATTGACCTGCTCCCAGGCCTGTCCCAGGACTATTTGGGTTAGACCCACACATCTAGGAACAGCCTTAAACAAGGCGTTTTTGAGAATTTTAGCATTCAGAACCTGTTTACTCAAGACGACGTCAGTCTCAGGAGATTGGCACTGGCATGTCCACCTAGTTCCCAGCCATATCCTTATAGCTGGTTCAGTTGGAAGATACTTGTATTACTTGTTACATAACTGTGCTGTATACTGCAGCTCACGCACGTGCCCATGGCAGACATCTGAAACACAAGTGCAGTGCAGCATAGAAATGAGATACACAGCATCCATTGTCGGCACAGTCAGTGTAGTGTAATTACCCAAACATTGTCCCGGTGTCCTGGGAAACACACCTTCCCTCTCCAGGAACACCGGAGAGTGACCACTGGGATTCAGGGGAAGGCAGCAATGACATCAGCAGCTTGGTACATTTGGAAGGCTCTGGAGCCTGAAATGACAAGGCATGCTATCTACGCTGAAATGGGTTGGTGAGTCCTTGGGTCCCAGTCTTAAGAACTAGCCACACCAGGCAGGCTGCTGGCAAAATAGATTTCCTGGGTCTCAGCTCTGGCAGAGCCTCATGGTGAGACATGTAATATATAAGCATGTGGGGCCGGCCGAGTGGCTCAGTTGGTTAAGAGCTCGCTCAAGAGTTTGAGCTCTGAGCAACAGCGGTTCGAGTCCAGCCCGAGCTGAGCTAAAAAAAAAAAAAAAAAAAAAGAAAGAAATATATAAGCATGTGGCTGCTGGGCTGGGTGCCGCTCCCTCCATGGAGATGTAAGGACCCCCTGCTCCTGGAGGCAGGGCCCTCACTTGCAGAGGACCCCATTCTGCAGGGTTTTGTTTCTGTCAGTGATGCAGGGCGAGGTGACCATTTGGGGGATGTCTTCCTTGCTCTTTGGCGAGGGGCTGCTGTTGTTACTGCCACTGGACTTACTTCTGCTTGGATCCAGAGCGGGCTGGGTGGGTAAGGAGCGGGCACCCTTGGCCCTGACCAAGCAGCTGCAGATCAGCCGAAAGAAGGCACGTCGCATCTCCTTGCTGGCCAGCGTGTAGATGACGGGGTTCATGGCGGAGTTGAGCACAGCCAGCACAATGAACCACTGGGCTCTGAACAGAATAGCACACTCCTTCACTTTGCAGGCCACATCGACAAGGAAGAGGATGAAAAGCGGGGACCAACAGGCAATGAACACACTCACCACGATCACCACGGTCCGCAGCAGGGCCATGGACCGCTCCGAGTTGTGGGGGCTAGCCACCCTGCGGCTGCTGGACTTCACCAGGCAGTAGATGCGTGCATACAGGATCACGATGGTCACCAGGATGGCTGTGAAGATGCTAATGCAGAACGCAATGTACTTCTTGGAATAGAGGGGCAAGATGGTGGAGCAGTCGGGCAGGTTGTGCAGGCAGTTCCAGCCCAGGATGGGTAAGGCGCCCAGGGAGAAGGCAATGAGCCAGCACATCCCGATCAGAAGGAAGACGCGGTGCTTCTTGTTGGCGTCGTACGGCCTCATTTTGATCATGGTCAAGTGCCTCTCGATGGCAATAGCCAGTAAACTACAGGTGGATGCCCCGAGGGCCACGAACATGCTGCCCTCCCGCAGGAACCAGACTGTCGGAGACAGGCTCAGCGTCTTCTTGCCCGACATTAGGATGTTGACCTTGTAGGCAATGCCAGCCAGCAGGTCACAGAGAGCCAGGTTGCCGATGAAAAAGTACATGCGGTTGTGAAATTTATTGTTTTTCCAGATGGCAATGAGAACCATCAGGTTCTCCAGGACGATAAAGCTGCAGATGACCAAAAACAGCACAGTGGTGAGGATGCTGCCCTCAGGGGATTCTTTCAGCCGGTCTTCCAGCTTGCCCACAAAGTGGTAGTGTTTGTGCAGAGTCTCATTCTCGGGGAAGGGTCTGGGATACGATGAGAGGACCCTGGCCATCACTTGAAATTCACAGGCGGTCAGTTCCAAAATCCACCAGAGGGCACCCTAGGAACGTCCATTTCCAGGGAAAGACGGCTCAGGCTTTAGTAATGATCCCCACCAGACCCGGGCTGCAGTGTTGAGAATGGGCTCCTGCAAAAAGATAAAGGAGGGGTGCCCAGTGATAAGGTCACACCACCGAAGAGCAAGGGTGGCAGCAAAGCTAGAGAAAGGCACCAAAAATGCCGAAGCACTTGGATGGCCTCTCAACACAGGCCAAGTTCCTAAGTGATTGGGGATGACCTGGGAAGCGACTTGGTGCCTGCAGTTGCCAGGAGGGAAGTTCCGTGCAGGACCACCAAGGTCATTCACTCCTGTAACAATGACGGACAGGCCCAAATAAGACTTCCATCTGGAAATCTCAAGCCACTTAGGAATGCTGACAGGAGCTGGTGAACCATTATTCTCAATTACCAAGAGCAACTGAGGATTATCTAGGTAAAAAAAAAATAGGATGACTCCAGAAAGTGCCCAACAGATTTCTGAGAGCTTCTTGGTGGGTTGTGGAGTGACATCATGGGATGCACCCACACTTCCCAGAACCAGGTCCAAGGGCAGAAATCAGATCCAGATGGCCTATAGGTCTGCCCAGCAGACAGCCCTGAGACTGGACCACGCAGTTACAGAAGCAAGAACAGCGTAAGGGCACACACGGTCTCCCGTGGCCACTTCACTAGTGAGCAGCTGAGCGTGGAGCCAGGGGAGGAAGGAAAACAAATCTGTAAAAGTGGAATCACCTTCCACTGAGATTAAAGGAAGAAACAGAAAACAAGGATAAGCACATGGACTTTGAGTTTGGCTTAAAACTCAGAGGCTTAAATATCTGCTATAACTGTCTTAAACCCTCAAAACGAAATCAGTGCTGATAAGCCAAAAGAAAACAACCGACTTGCAAAAACCAGTGAGACAGTGAAGGCAGTGAGTTCAGGAACCAGAGCCCAGATGGTCCTGAATTTTAACCCTTCCTCCACGGGGTCCTGGACACTCCCCAATCCACTGTGGCCTCCTGTGATATCCACAGTAAAGCCAACCCAATTATCAAGATAGAAAGGGCTGTCTGTGGACTGACTTTAGACTTAAATTATTCAAATATTTAAATATCTAATTAAAATCAGACGAAGTTAAAACAGTCCACTGTGCGTATCCAGTGAAGCTTTTTTTGGTACTTTTTAACGTTTAAGTGACAACCCTAAATTTGGGTCAGAGGCAAATGGACCACTCTCTAATGATATGGGATCCAAAGTCATCATCCACCAACTGAGCTCAATCCCAGGTGTCTCAGAGGCCCAGGCAGGTCTCAGTCCCTGCAAGGACCCAGGGGTCCGCTTGCAGCTGCTCTGTGGGGCAGAAGCAGCGGAAACCCCAGCCAGGGTCTCCCAGCCATGGAACCCTCCAGGTAACTGCTTTTCTGCCCCTCAGGCACTAGTCCCAGGCCCTGCAGATGCTATCAAGCTCGCCCCCCTTTTATTAGTCTGGGGGACCTGGGTCCTCTGAGGCCAGGCAGAGGTGGCCCCACTGATTCTTTTCGGAGATTTCATTTCTTTCTCTGTCCAGAAGATTCAATGTGCCGCTTGTTCTGGAAACCCTGTGAGCCCCGGCATCTGAGCTGACGTCTGTGCTCTGCCTGGAACTGCCTCTGACCCTTCTCCGGCCCCTCCATGACAGCTGTCTGAGGTCACAGAGGACATGGGGGTCAGCTTTAATGCCATGTGTAGCAGAAACCTCTTCTAACTTGAGAAGGGACCAGAGCAGCAGGCAGGCTTTGAGGCTGGGCTAACTAACGATGAAGGACCAGAGGGAGTACCTACTGAGGTCTCCCCCATCGCTGATCAGCCCTGGAGTTACCTCCCCGACCATAGCCCATCCAAATCCAGGGGCACCTTGCTGCCTCGGGCAGAAGGCAAGGCCACCCCCAGCCCCAGCACGCCCACACACATTTGGACTGAGGCCAGCAAGGGCCAACAGGCCTGGTCTGCTGGTTCTCTCACAGGTGACATGGACAGGTCACCTCAGTGGGCAGCTTTCCCATTAGCCCCCTCTTCCTCTTGCCCCGCCCCCGTTTTTATTTAAATCTTGTCAGTCCTTCTAGCATCAAATTTTACCTGTTTGGTGACATTTTCTAGAATTAGCCCAGCCCGCGGTGACTTTTCTCTGAAGCGGCACACCACTTTTTAAAACAAATTGCAAGCTGTGCTTTTAAGAGTAGAAGAGAGACCAGCAGCTGACACTACCTGGGCCCTTCACCTGAAGCACCTGACCTGATCCTCATAGACATCATGAAGTTTGCAGCGTCTCTCACAGTGCCTGGCACAAGGACAGGTGCCCCACACACGTGTGCGCCCTTTATCACTGCTTCTCTATGTATTCTTTATCTGTGAGCAGTGAACGGGGAATCCACACCCAGGAGTAGTTAGCCCGCGGTTCTCCTCCCACCACTTCCCAACCCCAGGGCACAACCACTGAGCGAGCACCCAGCGTTCTCCACATGGATGGTGCCACCAAAGACACCACAAGTGTCCTTATTCATGGAAAAGGCCCAGCACCAGGGCAGGGAAGGGAGACACAGGTGTCGCTTCACAGAGAGGCATAAACAGCAGCATCCTGAGTGTGGGGAGCCAGAGGTCTGCAGTAAGGGTTAAGCCTGGCAGCTGGCAAGCTGACAGGCTCTCAGGCCCGGGTGAGCAGTGTGAGAAGGTTGCTAGATAGATCTCATTCTCCACTGTGCCGCTGAAGAAAGAACAAACCTGCATCTCAGACAACCTTAAAAGTTACAGAATGAACTGCCAGCCTGTTAGTAGTTTCTACTTGCTCTACTTTGTCTTGCTTCGGGAACATTTGCTTCCCCACTCCCTCAAACTCCCAAAACTCCTTACCTAAAAGAATCTACTTCTGCTACAAAAACTGTGAGCAAGCAATAAACGGGGCCACTCTCTGCCATCAGCGGGCAGTGGACCTCCTGGGCCAACTTTCCTCTCTGTGTCTTTCTTTTCTCATCTCCTCATCCAGCCCACTCAGGTTAACCCTCTAGGTGCCTGGCTGACGAGCCAGGTGGCCACCGCAGACGAGCGGGCCTCGCCACCTGAGGGCGCTCCTTCCCACACCGCTGGCCTGAGTGCCCTCCCTGTACCCCCCACACCAAGGCCACCTGCTGCCATGTCTCAGTGGCTGCCCTTCTGTCCACTACACCACCATGTCCATTTGCTTCAAAATCTCTCGGACATCTGCTCCCCTAACAGGGATTTCTGTCCCAGGAACTGATAATGGCACGATGTGTTATGATAACTGACTTAGCACCAGGGCAATCTGAATGATAGTGCATAACATGAATTGTACATGAATTCACACCCGCAAGCAAAAAGGGGCTTCAGGTATCTGCAATGGAAAGGCTTTTGAGACCATATACATCCGAAGCTTGTCTTCTGTGCCTCAGTTTCCCCCATGATAACTGCATGCAATTTTATGTACCTCATGGCTCCCTCTGCATGTCTGAGATCCCTTTGATTGTGCCATGAAGTGCAGATAGAAGGGACGTAAGTCCCTTTAAACTTGCTGGATGTGGATTTTCCAGGAGTAAAGAGCAAGCTGACATCTTTTTCTTTTTCCCCCTATATATCCATAGTTTTGATAAAATCGAGCAGAGCATTAAAAAAAACTTAACACCAACCAAACAATAAAAACTAATAGCTAGCAATAAAGTAGCCACAATAAAAACAGTATAAGGTGTGCCAGAGACCCATCAAAGCCATGAATCCTGAGGGTGAACATCTTTTCCCATTAATGGTTGACTTACCATTTCCCTTAATTAAATATTCATTGCTGAAGGAGCATATTTTTTTCAGAACATTTTTTTTGGTTAAATGTAAATGTCCACATTTTGTGTAACTGGAAGACATTTAGTTCTCTTTGAAATCTAAAAACGTATTTTCTTTGGATTATCCACATTAGAAAGTAGAACCATCCTGAGAGCCAAGTCAAAACAGCACCAGGCTGGTTTTGGGTGCGTCTGAACATTACTGTGTAGTCAAAAGCATCTCACAGGAGGCCAGCTGTCTCACCCCACAGAGAAGGGTTCCAACCCAACACGCGAGAGGCCGGCCCCACAGGACCTCTCGCACCCTTTCTAGTCACTGCTCACCCGCAAATAGGACCATCCCCTAGTATAGCCTGGGCTTCTCATCCCATAGTACAGCCTGTTTCTGACCTTCATGTGATTGAATCCCTGTAGTACACAGCTGTGCCTGGGTCTTCCAATGTGGTGCTCCTGCCAGTCATATGTGTTGATGCCTGGGATTCCGCCTCATTGTTCCCACTATGTGGACAGATGCACCACTCATTGTTTGTGGACTTGGGGTGGTCTCCCCGTGTTCTTACCGTAGGTAGCATGCTAGGACTAGATGTGGGTGTACTTGTGCAAGCACGTGCCTGCATGTCCGTGGACCTCTGATTTCCGAGTGTGTTGTGTTGGAATCTAGGTTGGGCTCTGATGCAGAGTCCCTACGGAGGCTTACAGGGTTCGGCCAGCATCCTGAAAATCACTGCTTGTGTGGAGAAGTGCCCCTCAGAGGGCCAGATTTACACATTACAAATGCTCATATTTTCTTTTATTTTAAAAGATTAGTGTCTGGGGTTGGCAGTGACACTGTACAAGTTTGATCACTGCTTAAATTTCAACCTGAACACGAAGCCCAATCCTGAGAAATGTGTGCCGGCTAGTCCTGTACATCCTCAGGAAGCTGAGCATGTCACAGTAGATACACTCAGAACTGAGACACTCTCGCTCGTTGGCAGTGGTCTTCCAACAAATCCAAATTCTGACAGAGCAGCGCGCTGGAGCAGGCCTGGTATATGTCCATCTGCAGAGCCCGGACCCCGCAAAACCTGCACCCCACAGAACACTCCCCTCTCCGCATCTCATGTGTAGGAGGTCCACTGCTGCCTGATTCCCTGTAGATCTACTCAACAGAGCCCGTTACCTAAGGATTCTCACTTTATCCTCCTAAGCTGGGATCTGCAAGTCCATCTCAAGGCGTTTCAACACCAACACTTTTTCTTTTCACAGATAGAATAAAATGCCTTCTAGAAGGTAGTTCTGAGGTGTGCCACCCCAGCTTAGCCCCTGTCAAGCAGGGGTGCTTCCCTTGCCTCCATTTCAAGAAGGCACAACTGCAGGAAGTGGGGGAGGGGCGAGCCCTGGCCAGCGATGGATTCCAGATGTGCTTTCTACACTGGCGATTCACTTTCTCTACACATGTCAATTTTTAAAATAAACAAACTATAAAAAGGAAAAGAAAAAAAGTAAAGGAAAATAGTTCCATGAAGTCTGGGGTCTCTCTTTCTCTCTCCAATGGCAAAAAGAAAAGCACAATAGGATAGTGAGAAATTTCTCCTGGCAGAATGTAGAATGCAGTACTTTTAAAAGGCATATTCTCCCAGGGAAATCACTTAGTTCATCCTCCAAACTGAATTAAAACATCAAGCATTTGTCAACAAGCAAAATTTCTTGGAAAGCAGGATTTTTTTTCTTTCATTTAAAAGAGCTTAGAAAGGAAATAATGAATTGGCCATTTCATGGCCCCAGCAAAATTCCTTTGCTAATGAGTATTTTCCCTTACCACAGATTTATTAGGTGACCCTTCTCTGCTTTCAGAGATAGTTCACAGCAAGAGGCTCATACACACACAGCCTCACACACATGCACTTTGTTCTAGGTCAGTAATGGCACTCCCGTGAGATAACTACAGATGAACCAAGTGAGGATTTCACATGCAAGTACACATTCCCCTGAGCACACAGGCTTGTCCATAGGAAGGCAATTGCTTCTAATGAAAGAGATCTTACTCTCTTTGTTTCTCAACCAAGCTTTTCAAAACTTCTCTTCCTTGCTTGCTCTAAGTAAGGGCACAGGGTTAAATTCCTACCAATTGCCAAAGGACCAATGAGGGTGTGTGAACTGAGCTCCTCGCTAAAGGCATATGTAAATAAGAGGTGCCCTGCCCAAGAGGTCCTAACTGCGGGGTCCTCTCTTTTCCCAAAGCAGTGTTCTCACTCAGTGACATGACATGTGCACCACACGTTGCACCTTGCAGGTGCCACGTGTTACCCCCATTTGCCTTCTGAATGTACACTCAGGAGGAAACTGAGGCTGGGGGTGGTCACGGTCCTTAGTAACACAGCTTGGAAGAGACTGCACTGGGCTGGATGCCTGTGCCCGGTGTATCACATTAGTGATAAGTTCTTTTGGAGGTGACTACCTTTCCATATGTTCTTTACCTTGACGTGATAAGAGTGTCTCCAACATGCTTTAGAACTGAATCACCTCTAGTACCATGCTAGCAAAGTGCTGGAATGGGGACTTTACTGAAACACATGGAAAACTCGGATGCCAGGGAAATGGAGTAGCATCTTCAAGGCCAGAGAGCCCTGTTGGCTGAGCAGGACTTCCACTCCAGCTCACAGTGCCTATCGGATGCCAGTCCACCCGCTGGGCACCACCACGTTCTCCACCGAGCAATCTTTTCACTGATTGGATCCAACTGGCTTGTTACCTGGGCTCTTACAGACACAGCTTCAATTCTTTAAAAACAGAATAATAACCAAAAAAAAGGCAACTCTATGCCCAGTAGCTGTAACAATAACTGAAATGTATTAACTGACACTAGATAGGATTCCACTCAGTATATCATATTATCTCCAAAAGGTTATGGAAAATCCTTTAAGGCAATTAATTACTTCAACAAAAAAAGTATGGTGAATAAATAATATAAAATAACTCCAGAACTGATCAGAAAGGAAATGGGCTCCTGCAGGCCGTGGACTGAGGATGTCTCGCCAGCTGTGGGCACACAAGTCATAGTCCCAAATTCTGGCAGAAAAAAAAATGGGACTCTACAAGATGGCAACTCCAAATATTTCAAGATTATGGCATGCTCAAATTCTCATGTGTGTGTGTGTGTGTGTGTGTGTGTGTGTGTGTGTGTGTAAAAATATATGCATATGCTGTACGTACTGAAGCAACTTTAGGAGATGGAAGAGATACCATGAAATTAAAAAGTGTGCCGTAATTTCCAGCTAGAGGAAAATAGTCCCTGAATTTTGAGAAATAAAGCTATTAGGCCAATAGGCAAGGCTCCTTCTACAGGAAACATGAGTTTCTACTATCCACATATGGTCGAAAATTAGGAGAGTTGTGAACTTAAAAGGAAAGTCACGTATATAAAGGGGAAAGCAGCATTTTCAAAGATGCAAACTAGATGAGAAATCATTGGGCCTGTGTCTTAGGGGAGGCTCTTAAGGGCTGACTTAGCATTTTAGATCTCTGGTGTCAGGTGACAAGAGCCACTGGACTAGCAGGCCCAATGTAAACATTCACTGACTGAGAAAACCCAGTGTGTGGCTCTTCTATGGCAACAAAATTAATCATACGGGCATCTTCTTCAATTAAGTGAGAAATCATACAGATCCAGACGCTTGCACAACTCCTCAAGCACACAAACACACACACCACCACCACCACCATCACCTCCTACACCAACGCCAGTCACTGGCATGGCCATCCTTGCTAGTCACATACCTGCAGAAACTAATCCTATCCTTGTATTTCTAGGAATTATATTTTTCTTAATAATGCCTGCAAGATTTTCATCAATGAAGAAAATAATGCTGAAAAGATAAACTATGAACATGTGATTACATACAATGTCTGCAATCTCTGATGTCTAGACGAGAAATTCCTAATTCTGGAAGTACTCAGAGCTCCAGCTGGGGGAGGATACTATGTGCAGGGTGGACTTTCCATTTTTGAAATAATCTCACAGAAGAGCCTTCAGTTCATGCGGCTACCCTTTCTTTATCCTCAAAATGAAGCATGTTCTCTTTAAAAATCTAACAAGAAGTCTCTGCCTTACATCTAAATATAAGAACACCACAAGGAAATTATTGTCATTGGGAGCGTCCAATGTTAGAGAGAAAGGGAGGGAGAGAGATGCGGAGTGGGGTGAGACCAACAATTTGGAGATGGGTGGTTAAAAGTGGCAAAGCTAGCAGGTTCCCTGCCTCAGCCAGAGAAGGACTCGTCCTGGCCCTTGTCCAGGCTTTATCTCCATTATAAACGCAGCACACTGATTTTCGTGGGAATCTCATTACTGCACCGGGGCTTTGCCTGACAGCACCGATTGCCTTGTATGAGAAATATAAAGAAAAATGGAAGTTTTGTGTCGAATGTACCTTAAATTATTTTCCCAGGAGAATGACAGCAACCACACACTCCCAGAGTCCCAGGTCCTCATTCTGGGAGGACATCTAACATTTTAACTGTCCAAGTTAAAGCACGGATGGAACTTCTCCGTGAAGACTCACCTCTCTTTCATTCAGGTTATTGAGAGGCAGCTGGGTTTAAATGCTCCAATTGTAGTGAAAAGGGAAGCACCCCTTCCCCTGCCGTGCGGCTCGGTCATCGGAATGTCTGGTTTGGGGGAGGGGGTGATGCTGATGAGGTGCGCTAGTGCTAGGGTTCCGCTGAAATTTCGTGAGAACAGTGGTCCCGGCTGTCCCCACCCACCCCGCGTCCGCGTCCCCAGCCCCTCAGGCTCACCTCTGTCTGGGAAGGGCACTTGAATCACCGGCATGCTGGCGCCGGTGCGAGGTGGGCTGGGACACCGGGTAGTCTTGGGAGCTCGGGGGCTCGGGCTTGGGGTCTCGTGTGGGGTCGTCCTGCTTCCACGTTCAGCTCCGGGTACCTGTCGGGTGTCCCCGGGACCGGCTCCCTCAGCCTCTGGCGGTGCCAGCCAGAGCGCAAACTTTTCCAGCGTCCCGGGGGGCGGGGACTCTCGGCCTCCCCGCCTCCCCGCCTCCAGTCCACACCGCCCTGCCCCCTCCTCCGCCCCCACCAGAACCTCCCGGCACCGCGCTCCCAACTTCCCCGCCCCCATCTCCCCGCCACCCGGCGCCGAGCCCCCAATTCCTAATGCCTTGCCACCATCTCCCCGCGCCGGGTCTCCATCTCCCTATTTCCCGCGCCGCCCCCATACCCTTTGGCCCTGCTGCCCGCCCTCAGCCTTCGCCCCCACCTCTCCGCTTCTCTGGCACCCGGCACCCCACCTCTCCGCGCCCCCCCTCCACAGTGCCCTTAGGACCTGCTCGCCGCTCCGCTCCTACTCCAGGTCGGTCTCCAGACCTTGCGCCCGTGGGGCGAGCTCCAGATGCCGACCCTGGGACCCAGGACCCAGCGGGGATAGGTTCGAACCAGGTCTGGGGCTGGGCTTGGCTGGGTACGCTGACGGCGGGAGTTTGGGCAGATTATTACTGTTACGATCATTATTATCACTGTGATCATGATCATTTACGTCTGGAACTGACAGAACCCGGCTTGTAGGGTAGCACCTGGCAGAGGGTCTCGCGCCCGCCGCGTCCCTCCCTCTCCGAGCCCCCTGTGCAGGTGCCGGCTCCCCGGGGCGCACGCGCTCCGGACCCCCCGACTCCACCCTGGGCTAGAGAACCGCACAACCCGCAAACCTGCGGCGGCCGATCTCAGCAACACCTCCGCCCCGCTCACAGATTCGCCCCTTTTGTGATTAAATTAGATGCTCCATGCTTAGCACTTCTGAAAGAAAAATCCCCAGGAAGGCGATTACCAAACCATCTATTGAAACGCAAAGGGAAGGCCCTGGAGTGAAGGGAAGAAGAAAGGAGGAGGAAAAGGAGTCAAGAAAAAGGAACCAGGAGGCCCGTTATCCGAAGGAGGGTTGTACATTGCTGAGCAGAGGAGATTGGAGCCGCAGGTGGGGAATCTTGGGAAGGGTCTCCCTCAGACACCTGTTTCTGATGTGCCCTGTTGCCTCCAGAGGAGGAGCCAGAGCAGACTTCCCCTAGAACTGGGAGCAAATACTTAGAGTGGGTTTGAGCCCTGATGGGCACCTGTCATATAATGGCAACAGAGTACAGGCTGCCCACTTCTGCTGGCCTTCTGTGTTGTTCGCCTTTGAGAACCCCAAGACCTGGGAACATTGCCGGGAGGGGGCGCTGCAGAGCTCTGGCCTGCCCTTAGGGCTCAATGGAGGGCAGGTGCTTCCTGTCGGTGTTTCCACTTAATCCAATCTGCCTGTGCTGCTGTGAGCCTCCTCAGCATCTGGTCTTCCAAATTCAGTGTATCTTGAGCTCTGAGAAACTATTTCTGTCCCAAATTGCAAGTGCGAACAAATATGCCTCCATTTTCCACTCCTACAACATCAAGTCAAGAAAAGGAGGAGAGCCTGTGCTTCTTGGGCCACTTGCCATCACCAGGGCAACAAGAAGGTACTAACCACTATGTCTACACACTACAGAAGCCTCGAAAAACAGTGGGGCTCCTTACTGCAGGTGTCCCAAGGGAGACACAGGATTTGACATACAGTTGCATTCCTGAAACTCCTCTTTCAACAAGGCTCCTTTTTCCCAAAGAGTCCCAGTCCTGGGCGTCTCTCCCCCCAAACTGTCCAGTCCCCTCACTGATCCAGTGCCCCACCTCCACTCACTCCCTGCTCCCTGGCCTTACTGGCCTTAAAGCTCAGACACTGGACCCTGCCGTGGGCGGGGGGAGGCTTGACACTTCCACACAGGCCTAGAGGTCATATTCTTTCACTAATTCTCAGGAGAAAATCAGCCCTCCCTGAGAGTCTGTGAATGAAAGTCTCCTCCTCTGCACCCCTGGTTAACGGAAAGCTCTTCACAGAAGAATGCCAACTCATAAATGTAAACGGGATGGGAGAATGAGCAAATTCCCATCCTGCAGCCCACAAGGAAATAATTGAGTTGGACAAGATGATTTAATGCACCTAGAGGTGGAACTGTGGAGAATGGTTAATCACACAATGCTAACTGGAGAAGAAAAACATTTTTCATTTTCAACAGCGACACCTGGTTGCTGGCACCTTAGCTGGATCAAGTTCCATGTCACTCATACCGGATCAAATTGATAGCATGGGATGGTGCAGAATCCAGCACACAACAGCACTGATGCTCTGTTCTTGCTAAAAGTGCTTAATTTGAATCAAAGGTCAAAACTGGAGCCTGCACTTCCAGTTTACAGGACAGAGAAAGGATAGAGCAGAAAGGTAAATGACACCAGGGAGAAACAATGAGAGGAGTCCCAAGAACGGACATTCTATAGTTAGTTGGCCTGGTCTCCTAAAAAAAGTCAGTGTCAGAAAAAAGATGAGAATGGTTCGAGTGCAAACAGCTAAAAAGATGTGACATTCGTAACAACAAGCATGGACCCTGAAAGAATCTTGGGTCAACTGACCAGCATGCAGGACAATCTGGAGGATGTTTCAATATGATGCAGTGTTGAACAATGTTATAGAATTATTGTTAATGCTATTAGGTGTAATACTAGTACAATGCTTCGCTAGGAGAATGGCCTTATTTTTAGGACATTCCTGCTAAACTACTAAAGAGTGAAATGTGTTGATGTCTGAAACTTATTTTTAAATGATTCAGCAAAAATAATATATACGCATAAAGCTGATATGACAAAACGTTAGTAATTATTGGATCTAGGTGGTAGATATATGGGGGTAGTTGTATAATGTGTTCCCATTTTCTAAATGTTTGAAAATTTTTCATAATAAAATCGGAGAAAAATAAAATGTCAGGTACTAAATAATTTCTAAATTTTTCCACCTCTGTGCTCAGGCTATCAAATCAAATCTAGGCTTATGGGAATAAAATTAAAAGATAGTATTTATATTTATATTTGTATACTTTTGAAAATCACATGACCCCAAAGTTGAATATCATTGGAACAAATATATTACATACTTATTTGTAATTTTCAAAAAGGAAATACGTTCATTTTCCCAACTCATTAGCGCCTGTGCCTGGCAAAGAGGTGCAGCGTGGTTGGTTAAGGGACATCCAGTTGCAAAACTCTAACCCACAGGGAAACCCCCCCCCAGGGGAGCAGAGGCATTGTAGGAGGGGACACAGGAGCTGAGTAGCTGGGAAAACCAGACCCCTGTGCCTATAAATGCACCTCCTTTCTCCCTCCTCTCCTCCCTCCCAGCCTCTGCCTCCTGGAATTCAGGATGCTTTTCCCAGTCCTTAGATCAGAATTAATCCTCACCAAGTCTATTCTTTTCACATTTCATATTTTGTAAAGATGTTTATAATATTCAGACACCTTACTAGGGTGTGTGTTCATGTAAGAGTGTAACTCTGTGTATGTGGAAACGAGTATGCATGTGCATACATGTATGTTTATGTGCGCATGTATATGTGTGTATAAGCATATATGTGGATGTGGATGCATGCTTGTGTGGGGAGGGCACACACACATGTGTGCATGCACTGCAGGACTGTACTTTTGTGAGGGAGGTAATGTATGCAACCCTCCATGGAAGGTGAGCACGTGGACCTCAATACAAAATAAATGTTTGGTCTTCTGTTTCTGGTTCTTGGCCCAGGCTCCTAGAATCCTTGAATTTATTGTCTTTTGTAAAGTAATGAGATGACTGGTTAGGGGGCAGATAGCATCAGGATTGGGGCTGGTTCACAGAGGAACCAACCATGTGATTACAGGGTTGCAACTTCCAGTTCCACCTCCAGGAAGGGAGAGGGGCTGGAGATGGAGCTAATCACCAACGGCCAATGATTTCATCAGTGATGCTTACATGATGAAAGCATCACAGAAACCCCTAAGCAATGGGATTTGTAGAGATTCCAGGCTGGTGAACACATCTATGTGCTGGAGGGTGACACACCCAGAGAGGGCATGGAAGCTTCATGCCCCACTTCCCCGTACCTTGCCTTATGCATCTCTTCCACTTGACTGTTCCCAGACTGTATCATTTATAATAAACCAGTAACGTAAGTAAAGTGTTTCCTTGGGTTACGTGAGTTGTTCTAGCAAATGACCAAACCTGAGGAGGAGGTGAGAACATCTGGGTTTGTAGTTGCCAGGTATATGATCCAGTGAGAGCAGACAGACAGGGACATGTGAACTCAGCCTGGGGAGGTGGCAAGGTGAGTGTGTGTTTGAGCCGGCTTGGGAGTTTTCAGTAGAGGCCTGCATGCTCCAAAAGCAAGAGGAGGAAGAATGGGCTGGAAGATACCTGGCTGGGTGGAGGTGCTCCTGATTCTCTGCACTGTTTTGACGGAGGAGAGTTCTCTGAGGGCTTGTTGTGATGCCTGCATCTGAATCCCACAAACCAGGTAGCTCAGTCTTCAGCACCCCTGATGATTTGAGTCAAAGTTGCCCCTCAAAGTGCTTGCCTTGGGGGTAACTGGTTAGCTCAGTTGGTTAGAGCATGGTGCTGATGACACCAAGGTTGCCAGTGCTGAAAAACAAAAAGTGCCTGCCTTGCCGAATGCCATACCTGGGAAACTGTGGTGGGGGCCAGCTTGTCAGAGCAGCACTCTCTGTTTACAGAAGACTGTTTATACACACCATCTGTGGTGTAATTCAACACAAATGCCTCAGTTGTGTTTATCCAATCACACATAGCAGCAGTGGATGTGTGGGTACTTGCAAACCTGCCTGCACTCTGCTTGGACCCGTTCTGTGTACTCCTCCCCTGCCCTTGCCTTTTTGAACTAGTGACTGCAACAATGTTGAATAACCTGCATTTTCTTGGCTGCAGAAGAGTTTGTGTGGGGGTGGGGGCGGAGATGAACATAACAGTAATTGTGGATTTTCTCACTCCTCCAATATCAAAGGCCTCTGGTTATTAAGCAGAAAGGACTGAAGGAGTTTTGATGGGGACAGAAAGGGCAAATATCAGCCCTGACCTAGTGTTTAACTCCTGCAGGTCA